ATTTATTCCGGGCGACCCGAATTGATTGTTGCAGTAATGAATTTGAATTGCTATAGTTTGTTTGTGATATATAAAACACTCTAGTACTGCCTTGCTTTCCAGTAAGAGGAGGTTGTTAGTTTTATTATTTAAAGGAAAGGATGTTATTACTAAGTTAATGTGGCGTGTGCAGGTTCAGTTTAATATATCTATATTACTTGATTTTGGTTGCTTTAGGAAAACAAAGTATGTGTAGAATTCTAATTTATGAAAAGATTAGGCATTTTATTTTGGCATTCTTTTTTATCTAATGTTTTCATAATCGAATCCAAAATAATCTTCCCTGCTTGGCTTTCTGCTCCTTCTGTTTTTCTCTGATAAATTATGGTTGCAAGGACGAGAGATTTGATTCGTTTCAAATTTAGTATTGTTACAAAACTATCATAAACTGCTTTTATACTTGGAGAAAAAAAAATGAAATTATTGGTAATGCTCACAAACCTTCACAAGTTGTTTCTGCATGCATTTAGACAGAATTATTATTGTCATAAAATCATAGATAGATATTTATCATTATTGGCAATGCAAATCCATGATTATTGAATTCAGAATAAATGTCCACATGTGAGCATGTACTTTTATGTTTGATTATGCTTTTATCTTGAACATAAACACCGCCTACTACTGCTAGCATCTCTATATATCATCATTTTGCGAGACCTGAATGATAAAACAACTTATGGTAGCATGCAACTCGAGTGTGTAAGATTCTTGTATCTGATATGTGTTAATGTATTTGTATTTCTTAAATGTGGTCCTTTTGTATTGATTATGTGACACTTCAATTCCATGTTGGTTTCTCCATCATTGAAATTGTTTAAGTTATTCTTAGTTATGTTAGTCGTCTTCCGAGCCGGTTGACTATCTTTGAACCTTTGGCTTCGTTCTTCTTGTAGAAATCGTTTTTGTCCTTATTAAATTTTTTTCCCAAGTTTTTCATAAAATCTGAGAGTTCCAAATTCCACAAGATTCCACGAACTACTTAGTCGACGATGTTCGGCTAAGTATAAATTATCGTGAATATTTCTTAGTGTCAAGGTAGTATATTTATGAAACTATCATAATTATTGTAGGTGTTTGACAAGCCGAGCTCTCAACGTACTCGTATTTTCGTGAAATCTGTTGGTTCCAACCAGGTGGGTTGTAATTGTAAAATTTACTATGCTTTAATTAATTGCTTTTGTTGTAAGTATGATCAATGTATGCATGTGAACCATGTAGCCTTCGATGTGAGCTATATTGGCTGTCGAACGGTTTTCCACGTAGTTATAGAACGTACCTTCGGGTAGTCTCCTATATTATTGTTGACAGTCAGGGCGTGAGCCTTGTCTGGTGATCCTCGTATGCACGGCCAAGGCGTGAGTTTTGGCATTCGGGGTGGATTATTGCTCCTGCTAGCCGGACACTCGTTGTAAGGCCTTCGAGGAAGGCGTTCGGTATATAGCTCGACAGTAGTTTATTATTATAGGTGTGCACATGAGATCATTATTGATTATTGATAGGAGATGGGACGATTATTGATTTGTATGCATGCTGCGACCATACTTAAATTGTTTTATATTTATTGATATTAATTATTGCATAGCGGTGAGCACCTCGATTTTCCTTTTGTGCTCATCCCCACCTGCTCTTCATGGATGCAGGTTAGTTTATGCGGGCACGGCGGAGGGATGCGAGTGGTGGTCTTTTAAATTGATTAATCACCTGATAAACTGATTACTGTTAATATTGCTTTCGGATTATTGGAATATTGATTGGGAGTGTACTTCCTAGATACTAATGATTATTATTGGATTGCCTAGATGGTATTATTGATTATTGGGATTGTAATATTGATTAATGAGGAGTGATGATTGATTGCGTATTGAGAATTTAGTAAGTATTGATTATTGGTTTGAAAATGAGTAGTGCCTCAAGTGTTTCGAAATAAATTTTGAAAAATTTATTCTGAATTTCGTCAAATAAAAGTGGGGCGTTACAGCTATGCAGGTTGAACCGACGTTGAGGGAAAGGATCCGGCAGGAGCAGGCTTCTGATGAATTTGTTCGTGCTATTGATGCCAAAGTCCATGCCGGAGGTGTTGAGGGTTTTCATCGAGGCACTGATGGAGCCTTGGAATTTCGAGGTAGGATTGTTGTACCAAAAGTCAAGGCGTTGCAGAAGAAGATATTGACGGAAGCTCATACGGCGCCTTATTTAGCCCATCCAGGGAGCACGAAGATGTATCATGACCTGAAAGGGTCGTTCTGGTGGCGAGGGATGAAGAACGACGTAGCCAACTTTGTGAGGAAATGTTTAACCTGTCAGCAAGTCAAAGCCGAACACAAAAGTCCCATAGGCCTTCTGTGAACATTGCCGATTCCAAAGTGGAAGTGGAAGGAGGTTACGATGGATTTTGTTACAGGGTTACCAAAGTCGTCTGAACATCACGATGCTATTTGGGTCATGGTGGACAAGTTGATTAAGGTTGCTCATTTCATGTCAGTATCGATGAACATGTCTTTGGACAATTTAGCCGAGATTTATGCCCGTGGAATCATTCGACTCCACGGAGTGCCTGTTACTATCGTGTCAAATAGGGATCCCAGGTTCACCAGTAGATTATGGGAGAGTTTGCACCATGCGATGGGCACACGACTAGAGTTCAGTTCGGCTTACCATCCAGAGACTGATGGACAGACCGAGCGGACCATTCAGACATTGGAGGATATGCTTCGGGCTTTAGTTGTTGACAGGGGTGCTAAGTGGGAGTCGTTATTGCCATACGTTGAGTTTTCTTACAACAACAGTTATCATTCTTCTATTCAGATGGCTCCTTACGAGGCACTTTACGGTCGTAAGTTTCGTTCCCCTCTTTATTAGGACGATGTCGGTGAGCGTCGAGTACTCGGTCCAAAGATGATCGAGGAGACAGCAGAACAGGTCAAGTTGATCCGGCAGAGACTCAAGACAGCTTAGAGTCGACAGAAATCATCAGCCGATCATCATTGACAAGATATCCAGTTTGAGGTTGGGGAGCGAGCCTTTCTTAGAGTTCGTCCATTCCGTGGAGTCGTTCGATTCGGGAAGAGAGGGAAGTTGCACCCTCGATTCATTGGCACGTTTGAAGTTCTCGAGCGAGTGGGCAAAGTTGCTTCTCGATTAGCCTTACCTCCCGAGTTGTCCAGTGTTTATAATGTTTTCCAAGTATCTATGTTACGCAAGTACGTGTGCGATCCAGATCATGTTATTCAGCATTTCGATATTCAGATCCATCTAGATTTATTTTACGAGGAGCGACCTGTAGCTGTGTTGGACCGATAGGTTCGACGGCTCCGGAAGCGTGATGTTCCCCTCGTTCCTATTCAGTGGGATCGCCACAGAGCCACTTGGGAGCAGGAGGCTGATGTTCGCGCTCGTTTTTCTAATTTCCAATTTTGATGTATATATTTCTTATGTTTCATGTATATATGTTCCGTTTTGTATTTCCGAGGACGAAAATATTTTAAGGAGGGCAGATTGTAATAGCCCGTTATGTTATTAATGTAAATTACATGTTTAGTTCCAAAATATTTATTTTATCGATCATTATCGTTCGGAACTAAATATCCAAATCAAGAATGTTCGAATAAATTTTTGAAGCCACGTTTATGTTCGGATTAATTTCTACGTAATTAATTTCATTGATCATGCACTAAGTTTAAGATAAAGATGCTCATTGTGCACGTCTTTAATGAGATAAGTGGCTAGGCTTATCTTAGCAATGATCATGGTTAATTAGCATTTAAGCCATGCTTGGTCTATTCCTAATTGCCGAGAATGTTGGGACAATTTTCACGTGAAGTATCATCATAATACTAGTACATGTGGCCTTTCCTTAGCTTCTCATTTAATGACTAAGCATGCAAAGTGATGACTAGGCTAGCTAAGGCCACCTAAGCCCTTCTAAGCACGGCAAATGGTGAGAGTTGATTGGCTAAGCCAATCCCTTTATATTTTCACCCAATTTTTACTAGCTTTCGTCTGCTATTTATATGTAAGGTTAGAGTAAAAATTGAGCATAAACATAAGTAATTCACTAAGCCAGATTTTAAGAGCTATGTTAGATTAAGGGTACTGCACGCACGGAGAGGGAGGAGAAGAGTACTCGCACGCACGTAAAGCTTCGTACGGTCACGAGAAATCGCATGCAAATTGCCCGAGCGTTTGAAGGGTAACTTCGACTTAATCCTCCCTTAGTGTTAATAGGATCATGTTAAGCTTGCTAGGTTCATATCATGTCATTTGATCCTTGTAAACGCTAAGTTAAGCTCGGTTTAAGGCACTTTAAGCCAAGTCCGAACCATGTTCAATCCTATCCGTCATCTCTTGAGGAATTTATGTTTGTTCGTTAATATATGTCAATTCATGATAAGTTATGTAAGGGTGGTCGAGGAAAAATTATCGTTTGGCCGAGGATTGGCCAAGCCGTGAGCTACGCCTATGGCGCACGCCACGGCCATGACGTCTCATTGATCATGCTAAGCTAGGTTCATGAGTTTCTGGTTGAGTTATGTGTATTTATTTAAGATATGTTACGTCATGTTAACTCATGTTATATTGGTTTGAGCATGTCGCCCGGACGGCCGATAAGGATCGGTCGTGGTCGTCGTAACCGCACGCAGCGGGTAGTGAGCGCCGACAGTCAGACGTGTACGCGGGTGACGTGTGCTCATGTCAGTCGGGTGTCGCACATAACCCTGCCCGCGGTAGTCAGCGACTGGCCAGTGCCTAGTGCACACCAGTCTACCCGAGCGCACGCCAGTGCGCGTATCTTCATGTCAGTCGGCTTCAGGCAGTGCCCAACAGCACCGCCCGAGTGCCAGGTGCTGCTAGTGTCGCAAGGCCAGCGCCCGCGCGGTACACAGTCACGCCAGTCAGCGCCAGTCCGCGCATTCTTAGGCAGCCAGTCGCCTGTTGCGGTGCTAGACAGCGCCCGACAGTGCTCAGTTGCGCAAGTGTCGTCGCACACAGTGCCCGGCAGCGCCAGAACACCCGTCCAGTGCACACGATACGCACGCCAGTGCCCAACGTCGGGTCTGCGATGCGTCAGTCGCACGCCAGTCACGCAGGTTGTGCCCAGTGGCCGCCAGCATGCATGAACGCCCTGTCCACGCCCAGTTCATACCCAGCGGGGCCGACAGCTTCATGCCACGCCCAGGCCAGGCAGCGCCCGTGCCCGCAGCCTTTGCAGGCTGGCTGGCCGAGCCAGCGGCCGACCGCCCGACCACAGCAGGCCAGCGGTCCAGCCAGACCGCAACTCGACCGGTTCAAACCAGTTCAACTTATGTTTTAATGTTTTAAGTCCCGATTCATATTTATGTCTAATTTTCAGTTAATTTCTGGGTCCGGTCCAGTTCAGTAAATTCATGTCAGTCCAGTTTCATGTTAAACCGGTTCCGGTTAAGTCCAAATATCATGTCAAGTTACAGTAGAGCATCTTAACATATTAAACAACTATTTTAATCAGTCTGAGCATAGTATTTAGTAATTGTTTATATTATATTTCAGTTTGATCAGGCTACTATTATACCTTTTCATATCGAAGGATCAGGTGGGGACTGAGACTAGGTATTACATTGACTATAATTACTCTACCATGTTTGAGGTATGTATTATTATGTCATGTATCCGCTTGGAATGGTTGTCGGTCCATTCTTGGTTCTAGTGGCCCTAGTCTGCCCACTAGAGTGTGCAAATGTTGTCCGACATTTTATGCTGGCATATGAGGCAACAGTCATGTGATGATTATCAGGTTATGATTATTCAGTACCGGTTTCATGTTCAGTTCACATATATGCCAGGATAATGATATTACATTTATTTTCACTATTTACTTTAGTATGAGTTCCTACGGAGCACAGTGGATTTAGTGCTCATGCCCCACGTTTATTTATGTTTTTCAGGTCACGGAGTCGGGCCGAAGGTGTGAGCTGACGGGCGGTCCAGGCTTTTGTTTACATGTTTGAATTTGGCATAGCAGTGTTGTTACTATCTCCCGTAGTGGAGTTTAAACATGATTTTGCCACGCTATATTTTCCGCTGATTTTCACTGTTTGTCATACTTAGCCTTTTGATTCGATTACCAATCAGATTATTTATATCATGTTAATCCGTTTTTCTTAAAACAAAAATTAACGGATTTCAAAGTAAGGTTACGGTAGCACTCCGAATCACGATTTCGCAAATTAATCAGTATTTTTAAATAAAAGATTTTACGAAAATTTAACTCTGATATTTATGACATAGCGGGGTGTTACAGTTAAATTATTGTATTTTATAAATTTCATTATCAGCTTTTAAGGCTCTGATCATGTGTTGAGTATGAGGAGAAATCATATGGTGAATTGATACCCTTGCTGTGACTTTTGCTGAAGCTATTTATGCGAGTGTGTTGCTGATTTTGAGTTGTGATCTAAGTGCCTTTTTGCCTTGAGTTTGTTGAATAGCTTGAGCCTCTATTCAATATGTTTCCCTTGGCTGAAGGATATGAGATTAAATGGCATTTTATGCCTATGAATTCAGTTTAGGTGCATGTCTAAGAGTTAAGAAAATTGAGTTATAATACATGTTTTGTTGGTATAAAATAGAATTTCACGCATTATAAGGGACTCGAAATTGTTGAATTGTTAAGCCTTGATATTTCGAAATCCTTTATGACTGAAAGCATGTGATTAAAATCTTTGATTTGCTACATTTTAAGTTTATAAGGGTGCTTAAGTTATGAAAAATTACTTCAAAAGAAAGAGGTAGATTTAATAATTTTTAAGCATGCTGAAGTTCCGCTTATTTTGATCCATTCTGTTGAGCCTTTATCAAGTTTTATATGTGCTTGTTATATGATTATGTTCAGAGTCTATATGAGCATGAGATTCAGTTTTGGAAGGATTTATACAAGCTTAACTCGGTTAGGTTTGACAGAAGTTTTACGAAATTGTTGAAGCATTATATGATTATGTTCGGTGTTGAGCCTTTTTATGCAGTTTAATGGTTGAAGTGTGCTTTACTTGCTTATGTGGCCTAATCAACCCAATCTAAAACCTTAATAAAATTAAATCCCTAATTTGTAGATTAAGAGGAGTCGAACCCTCGCCCTTGTTTGATCGTGCGTTCACCATCATCCTCTGCAGTACCAGGTGGGTTTTGAAAAATTGGCTATGCTTTAAATGTTATTACTATTATTATTATTTTACTTGGTATGATCAAAGTATGCACGTGGAACATGTAGCCTTCGATGTGAGCTGTATCGGCCGTCGAATGGTTATCCCCGTAACTATAAAACGACCCCGATGGGGTAATCTCCTCTTTACGTATTTGCGAAGGACACGTCGCTGGAGACCAGGGCTGTGCTCGGTCAGTGATAAATACCCCGATGTAAGTCCAATGGCGAGGCCGGGCCTTCGGGGGAGACTTCTACTAGCTGGCACTCGTTGTAAGACCAGGAGGCCGAGGGCCATGGCTTTTGATATATAGTCGGCAGTAGTCTATTGATATAAGTGTGCACATGAGAACGAACTTGGGATAGGAGGTTGGGATAACTAATTAATTACGTATACATGCTGCGACCATACTTGTTTTATTTATGATTAATGTTTATTGCATAGTGGTGAGCACCACAGATTCCAATTGTGCTCATCCCCACCTGCTCTTCATGGATGCAGGTTAGTATTGCGGGCACGACGGAGGGATGCGAGTGGTGGTCATATCATTGATATTGCTTCCACCTATCTGAATTGATCATTGTAATTATTGCTATGTATGAATGTGATATCCCGTTATGTTATTAATATAATATCATGTTTAGTTTCAGAATATTTATTTTATTCAGCGTTATCGTTCGGAATTATTTATTCAAGTCAAGAGTGTTCGAATTAATTTTCGAATATCACGTTTATGGTCGGAATAATATTCCGACAATTAATTCATGCTTAACTGCTCAATAAATAATTTACCGAGCATAATCGACTATCAATTGCGCTTAATTCAGTCTAATGGTCGAGGATGGTTAGTGTAGGCATAGGTTAGGAGCACGCTAGTGGTGCATAGCAGTAAAGGTCAAGTATAATAGCATGATCATACTTAAGTGGTGCTAAGTCCACTTAAGAATGCTTAGTATTTTTGATTGCCGTAAGTTTTGAGGCAGGGTCAAATTTTCTTTACCATCATCATTTCACTACCTTATGTGGCCCTCATCTAAGGCTTAAAAGAATTACTAAGCAACTCATGGGTACACGTAAGGCCTTAGTTGCTTGGCAAATGTAATAATATGATTGGATAAGGCAATATCACTCTTCTTTACCATTTTGTACGTCCATATTATATATGAGGGGTTAGTGAGGTCCGTACTCTTAACCTGAGTATTCAACAGAAAGCAAAAGAGAGAGATTACCCCATAATTAAGTAAGATTAAGGCATTTTTCTCTTGCACATACACTTGAGGGACGAAGGGGCACATGCACGCAAGGTCTTGTTTACAAGAAGTCACGAACAGTTCATCGAGAGTGCGAAGAGGTAACTTCGTCTTCATCATATTCCTAAGCTAATACGACCATTTTGGGCATGCCATGTTCAGTTCATGATCCTTAATTCATAGTCGAATTTTGTTCGGTTTCATGCCTTTTTCGTCGTGATCGAATAATATCTGTTTTTACCCGACAACTCCCGAGCAATCCATGTTTAATTGATCGTTATATGACATTTTATACTTATTTAATTCATGTTGGCCGAGAGATTTTCAAGTTTGGTCGAGTGGTTGGCTTAAAGCCAAAGACCGCGCACGGTGCACGCGTCACGACCATCTACATGCTTAGTCATCTGTAACAGTTCATATCATGTTAAATTAAGGTCTATTATGTTAAAACATGTTGAACTGGTTGGGAGTTGTCGGAAGATATCGCCGGACGGCCGGCAAGGGTCGGTCGTACTCACGTTGTCCGCACCTCGTGGTCGCAGCGTACCGGCAGTACGTAAGGGTCGCGCGGTAACGTACCGCGAGCAGTCAGTATCCACAACAGGTGGCTGTGGGTGATGCGCGAGCGCACACCAACGCCAGTCACGCACGCCAGCGTGCGGTAACGCACGCCAGCGCGCAACATCGCACGGCAGCGACCGCACGGTGTCAGTCCTGCCCAGCCAAGCGCTTGTGCGCGCCTCTTAGTGTACAGCCGCACGATAGAGTATGCGCGGCAACACCCGTCAGTGCCCAGTCAGGTGGCAGCCGATGCACATAACACTCGGCAGCACTCCAGATCAGGTCCCGTTCACGTCCGCCATGGCCAAGTGCACTCAGCACCCCCGGCTGTGGCCAGGGCCGGCCCGGCAGCGGCCATGCCGCACCCAATCCCGTCAGCAGTCACGCCCGCAGCTGCAGCAAGGCCGCGGACCAAGTCAGCAGCCAACCGATCGGTCCGAGCAGACCGGCGGTTTGGCCAGACCGGTTCCGACCGGTTCAGTCCATAAATTATTATTTAAATCTCGGTTCATGTTTTAAGTCCCGTTTTCAGTTAATTTTCGGGTTCAGTACAGTTCAATAAATTCATGTCAGTTCAGTTCCGATATTAGCCGGTTCCAGTTATACCGATTAAGTCCAAAAATCATGTCTAAGTTCAGTAGAGCATCTTAACATATTAAAAAGTTATTTTATCAGTCTGAGCATAGTATTTAGTAATTGTTTATATTATTTTCAGTTTGATCAAGATACGATTATCAACACTACCTTTTCAGTCAGACAGTTCAGGTGGGGACTCAGACTGGGTATTACATTGATTATAATTATTCTACCATGTTTGAGGTATGTATTATCAGTATCCGCTCGGAATGGTCACCGGTCCATTTTGGGTTCTAGTGGCCTTAGTCTGCCCACTAGAGTGTGCACATGGTGTCCGGCATTTATGCTGGCAGATGTTCAGGTATCAGGCAGGTGATGATTATCTCACCATCAGTATCAGTTCATGATTATTCAGTACCGATTTCATGTTCATGTTCATGCCAGGATCATGTTATTATAATTATTTTCGATGTTTACTTTAGTACGAGTTTCCACGGAGCACAGTGTACTTTAGTGCTCACGACCCACTTTTATCATGTTTTTAAGGTCAGGATGTCGGGCCTGAGGTGTGAGATGACGGGTGATTCAGGACTTTTGCTCATGTGATTGTACATATTTTGATGATGTTATGTTTCCGCTGACTATGATGTTTTGACGAACTTATATTTTGATCAGACTTTCAGATATTTAATGCTTTCATTAAATCGTAGATTTTTGCTAAAGATTAAAAT